GAATCATATATATACATATACTTGGAAAATTGCCGTACGCCTTGAACCAATCAATGTTATATGTCTGCCCCTATGCGAATATTTAGATTTCCCAGCCGTCGCACAGGCAGGTCAATCCGAGGATATTGCCCCCACCCCGCACGGAGCGATATCTTAGCACCGCGCGCGCACAGACAATAATTTATACCAGCACCCCCCCTGGAATAATACTACGAAGCAGGATAACAATAGGAATAATGATCCGAGAAGACCACGGATAATAATAATAATGCGGATAAGAATCCTATTGGCACGCTACTGGGTCCGATTGTATTGGAACGCTATCAGAAACCCTATTGAGATCCAACTAGATCCCATTGTAATCCTGTTGTATTGGAGAGTTATTGCGTTCCTATTGGAATCCTACGTATTGGGACCTTCTTGTATTGGAATCCGATTGGAATCACATTGGGATCTGATAGGAATGCAATATTGGAATTATTTTGGAATCGTAATGTGTTGGGAAACTATTGGAATATCATTTGAATCCTGTCGGAATCCGATTGTATTAGACTCAGATTGGGATCCTACTTAAATTCAACTTGAATATTTTTCATAAGAGTTCAACTGGAATCCTAGAGTAAACCTGTTGTGCGGGACTCCTATTGGAGTCCTATCGTATTCGCTGGAATCCGGAAAGACTCCTTCTCGAAGCCTATCATAAAACTGTTGAAGTCGTATGGAAATCATATTATATTGTATTGGAGTCCGATTGGAATCCTATTGAAATCCTAGTGGAATCTTATCAGAATCACATTGGACTCCGATTGAAGTCCTATAGGAATACTACTGGAATCCTACTGTATTGCATTGTATCGGAATCCTAGTTGGATCCAATTAGAACCCTATTGGAATCCCATTGGAATCCTACTGTATTGTATCATTTGGGGGTCCTATTGGAATCTTATTTGAAAAAGATTCCAGTACAGCGGGATTTCCATCAAGATTCCAGTAAGATGCCAATCGGATTCCAATAAAGTATGGCTCCTGTGGAATTCCAACAAGATTCGAATATAATCGGATCTCCAATAGGATTCCACGACGCCGACGCCGACGCCGACGAAGACGACGACGGCGGCGGCGGCGGCGACGAACGGGAGTCTTACTGCCATGACATGAGGAGCCGGTTTGCACCCCATTGGAATCCACGGGGCGCCTCATGGTGCCGAGGTAACGCTTCCAGGGTGCCGGAAGCGTTATCGTTTCACCGGAAGGGGGGAAGTTCTTAAATGCTTCCTGCTGTTATCCATGCTGGCATATGCAGTGTGGCAGGATTGCCTCATGGAATGTCGAAGGCATCACCAACAGCAATCCGCACATTTTTTTCGAGCTTATCAAAGACATGCGCGACTTGGACATTTCAGTTCTGCCTTCAAGAGACACACTGCGGTGGTTCGGAAGTCACGAATTCGAAGACAGTTTGGTTATTCTATCTGTATCAGAGGGTGCTGGAAGAGAATATGCGGGGGTGGGCTTTATCGTGGCACCTTGGGCACGACGATCAATCAAAGGATACTTTCAATACAACCAATCGCATGGCGAGTTTGCGGATACAGTTAACAGGAGGTGTTCTTGCTTTATTGACAGCGTACGCATGGACGAAAAAGCACGACTACGACGTCCGCCGCGACGTCTACTCAGACTTTGAGCAATTTTTCGAGCGCTGCAGGTCTCATGAGCCAACTTTATTGCAGGGCGACTTCAACGCCAAATTAGTGCGAAGATTTGCCGGAGAAGCTGAGATTTTTGGGCGCACATGTGTATCGGAACTCCAAGAGCAAGTGGGACCCACAGTCAAACAGAAAACTGCTGATGGAACTTTGCATTGCCACCAATACGTGCGTGGCGAATACGTTTTCCGATGTACCAGCGGAGGCAGAGGTGTCCTACTACGACATCGGGGTGGACCCCATGGGGGCAATCTGAGCAAGATATGTTAAACAATTGTACCATACTGTTGTTGACTCGCGATGGCTCTCTAACGTACGAGATATCCGGACAGACTGGCACAAAGCTCTTCAATCACACCATTTCGTATGTGTTGTGGATTTGAACATTGACACACCCATTACCGTCCGCGCTCCACGTCCGCCGCGACGAGATTGAAACGCATTGCGACGCAACCGTATAGCCGCAGACTACATCGAGGGCTTCATCAACAAAATGAAAAACAAAAAGCAAGCAGCCAACCGATCTCTACAAAAGAAGGCAATCACTATTGCAGAATGTATGCTTGAGTCCGCCATGAAGACATACCCGTCCTCGCTGCTACTCCGCGCCGTCCTTGGATATCTTCGCGGACGTTGTCTTTCATTGAGAGCCGCAATCGGGCAAGATTCATTGGAAGCCAAACTGAGGTGATATCTTTGAACAAGCAAGCGCAAGTTTCTGCACGTGCTGATAAGAAGAAATGGCTCGACGATGCGATCCAAAATGGAGTCTGGAACGCGATCCTTTCCCTCAGGAAAAATCCAACACCTCGCCAAGGGCGGCTGCGAGACAAACATGGTGACGTAGTAGATGCCGATCAGAAGGCAGAGACCATGGCAGATAATTTGGAGGACGTGCAATGGAAGCTGTACGATGGGCCCGAAATCCTTCCTGAAATACAACGCAATACGGTTTCCCTGAACATTTACGTGGGGCATATAACACTCGAAGAAGTTCGCAGAGCAGTCAAAACACTGAAGGTTCATAGAGCAGCTGGGAACGACGATGTGCCGCCGGATGTCTGGCAAGTTCTGTGGCGGAGCAATGCAGCTTTGGAAATACTCCGGGAACTTTGCGATGGGTGTTGGCAGCAGAGGGAAGTGCCAGAAGAGCGGAGAGAAGCATATCTTGCCGCAATATTCAAAAAGGGCGACACGTCGCAACTAAGCAACTATGACCAAAATCGCTGCTGGCCGTCGGCTATTAGGTACTCGAGAGCATTATTTTGCATGGGCTCAAATCAGGAGGAGTGGAAGATCGACTCCGAGAATCTCAATCTGGTTTTAGACCAGGTCGTGGGACTACTGATGAATTGTTCGTGGCACGCCGGCTCATCGATGCGGCCCTAGAGGATAAGGATGGGCAGCTTATGCTATTGCGCCTGGATTGGACCAAAGCATTTGATCCTATCAAGCCTGATGGCTTAATTCACGCTTTGAGGCAATTTGGAATACATTCAGACATGATTGAGATGATCAGAGGTATTCATACCGCCCGCAAGTTTGTCGTGAGGGGAGCAGAAGCCACATCTTCGCGGAGGTGCCAGAACGCAGGGATCGCTCAAGGGTGTCCCTTGTCGCCTTACTCGTTTGTCATCGTCATGTATGTTCTTTTACATGCTGTGGATGAGAACATAATTAGCAACGGCCTGTCGACACCAAAGAAACCTTATTTCATTACGGGGGACATACTGTACGCCGACGACCTCTCCTGGCATCGGAGGACCCGGATACTCTTCAGACACATCTAGACATCACTGCAGACATCGGGAAGGCAATCGGTTTTTGAGCTCAACGCCAGCAAAACAATATTGTTGAAAATTGGGTGCGCTGCTACAATATTTGGGCCGGGAGGCGAACCGATTCAGGGCCAAGACAATGCTGTATATCTGGGTGGATATCTCCGTATTGACGGGAACCCCAAGACAGAGCTGACGAGACGTATCGGTGAAGCGAGAGGGTCTTTCCAACAACTCAGTACTGTTTGGAGCCACGCCAACGTATCTCGACAACGTAAAACCTTGATGCTTGAAACGTGTTTTTCTTCGAAGCTGCTGTATGGGCTTGAATCATGTACTCCAGATTTCGTAGTAAAAGGGAGGGGGTCTGAACCCTCCAAGACAAGCCATTTCAGACCTCCCTCGTGGGAGAACCCTCCAAAACATCGTCCCCAGACCCCCCAGGCCCTCCAAAATAGCCTCGAAGAGACCCCCCCCCGAAATGAGACCCCCCTCCCTTTATTACGAAATCTGGAGTATGCTTCTCGCCGCTGATCGTGAAAAACTTGACGGTTTTCAAGCCCGGTGCCTGCGGAAGATCCAAACATTCCGCGTGCCTACATTTCGAGTGTAAGCAACGCTGAAGTAAGAGATCGAAGCAACGTTGGGCGTCCATCGACAACTTTGTTGCAGAGACAACTCAACTATGATGGGAAGCTTGCCCAGGATCTGCCTAGAGCGCTGCCTAGACAGATGGTGTTCCAAGAAGGGCAATGCGAGATCTTACCCAGAAGGTGGAATGTTCGCCGCAGACGAGGACGACCTGGACTTCAAGGGGGTCATTACAATAGGGTCATTACATGTACGCTAACGATCTGAACATGGTGGGGGACGATCTGGATCGTTTACCATTCTTCTGAGAAGTACGCCCGCCCGATGGGAGGCCGCAGTGGTGCAGTATTGCAGGCTAGTTTAGTCCAGTACCCTCCCTCCTACCCTCGTCGTTTTTGCCTATCGCTCTCTCTCTCTCTCTCTCTCTTTCTCTCTCTCTCTCTTTATCTTTCTCTCTCGCTGTCTCTCCCTCTCGTTCTCTCTCTCTCTCTCTCTCTCTCTTCTTGCATGTTGATTCGCAAATGTATTGTCATCCGCCGCCCAGCACTTACCAACGTGCAGTGTTTGTGTTCAATCGTGCTTGCATTTGCGATGCTGGTTTCTTCTTTTTCCCAGGGCCTTCGTACTATCGTGTGGTATGTTTGCCGATGCCTCGTCTAGCCGCGGCTTCTCCAGTCCAGTCCAGATGGGGTCCGAGCAGATGGAGTCGGAGGATCGCGCCGCATCGCCGATGCATCGGCGATACATCGGCGATGCATCGGCGACGTCAGCGGTGCTTCGGCGACGCCAGCGCGGAACAAATCGCGCCCCACATCGAGCCGCATCAGCGATGCATCGCCGATGCGCCAATCTAATCCACGAGATCTTCCCCAAAGGATCTTCCCCAAGGGGTGCCCCGCAAGGCCGGCGGCGGCACGACGTCCGCTGGTGCCCTTCGCATCAAGCAGCTGGACCATGCCGCAGAGCGTGAAGCCAGGGGCGTCGAAGGCACTGAACCCGGTGCGCAGGTGGGGGCGGGCGCGCGAAGAGAGATCGAAAGAGAGAGAGAGAGATACAGAGAGAGGGAGAGAGCCTGGATGCCATCTCGCTTCTAGGATGACCTCTTTCTCTCTCTCTCTCTCGTTCCCCTTGACCCTCTGTATCAAATGCCGTGCGTGCATGGACATGTGAAATTGCACACATCATAGACTACCCTTCGGGAGACAAGGAAGTTGGGAGGATGGATTCAGCTATCTCTGGGCGACTGGCGCCCTATCAAATTTGCAATCGCTTACGCACCGATCACACCGTGTATCTGTCTATCGACCGCACTGGCTACCTATTGATCTCACGACTGATTTACCAAGCATATTATCCATCTACCGATATCACGATCTACTGGTCTCGCAATCTACCTACCGATATCAATATCAATCCAGGTCCCCGATGGCGAACTACAAAACCTAACGGGCCCCTGGCGAGCCACCAAAAGCCCACGTCACACCCAGAACGAGCTCAACAAAAAAAGCCAGAGACATCAAATTAATCCACTTGAACTGTCTCTGTCGATCTCGTACCTTGATAGAAACGAACGATTCAACCCGCATATCCTTGTATGACCTCTCGTAGCCTTTTCCCTCCCACCCATGGCATTTACAACAAAACCACATGCCAACAATGATGCAGCATAGGCTGGCATAATGATAGCGCAACTAGGTCAAACAATAATCCTCCGTCTGGAAAACGGAAATGCAGGACATGGAAAACAAACAACACGCAATCCGCTGGCTGACAGTCGGAGTGGTTTAAGGGGATTCCTCTTCGAACCCCTTTCCTCCCTTTCGGGGAGGGCACGCCGCACATAAGAATCGTATAGGCTTCGCACCGGTTACTCGTACGACTCACGTAGGAATCGTGTGCGATTCGCACAAGAATCGTATACGATACACGTGAGATCTGTATATGGTTCACATGGCTGTACACGGTTCACATTGGAACTGTATACGGTTCACATAAGAATCGTATACCATTAACATAGCACGCGTGTACGTTTCACATGGGAACGTCGCTTACGATTCACACTGGAACCGTATACGATTCACACGGTATTCGCATACGACTCACACAGGAAATCGTGTATGATTCACAGTGCGATTCACATAGCAACCGTATACGAATCACATTACGAATCGCATGCGAATCGCACAGCAGTCGTACACAAACCACACGGGAACCGCATACGGTTCACGTCAGAATCGTAAACGATTCACAGATGAACCGCGTACGATTCACACAGGAACCGTATGCGATTCACACAAGACCCGTTTACGATTCGCATAGGAAATCGTATACGGCCCACATAGGCATCGTATACGCTTCTTGTAGATATCGTGTAGAATTCGCATTGGAATCGTACGCGGTTCACACGTGAATCGTATAGGATACACGCAGGACTTGTATACGACTCACATGGGTATGTATACGATTCACACTGGCACCGTGTACGATTCACAAAAAGAATCGCGTAAAATTCACATGCCGCTCGTGCGCGGTTCTCAGAAGAATCGACTACGATTCAGTTTGGCACGACCAGCGATTTACACTGGAATTGTATACGGTTCACATAAGGACCGTGTACGATATACGTAAGTTTTGTAGTTGTCACACATGGGCTTGTGTAAGATTCAAACATAAATCGTATACAATTCACATTGGAACGTATGCGATTCACATTACAATACTATACGACTCACGTCACACGCGTGTGCGATTCACATGGGAAAATTGTCAACGATTCACACTGAATCGTATACAACTCACTCAAGACTCGTATACGATTCAGATGCGAATTTGTACACTATTCACATCTGGATCGTGTGACATATTATCATTAAAACCGTATACAGTTCACATAAGAAAACGCACTATCCGATTCACATGAAAATTGTATACGGTTCACGTGGGAATCGTAAAAACGATTCACATAAGAATCGTATACGATCCACATAACCACTGCATTCAACGCACGCAAGGATCGTATACGATTCGCACAAGGAGCGCATTCGACCCACGTCAGGGTCGTATATGCTTCGCATGGATATCGTTGTCAATTCACATAAGAACCGTCTGCGATTCACAAAGAAATCGCATACGACACGCATAGGACGTCTAAACGATTCACATGAGTCTGTATATGATCCACAGTGGAACCGTATACGGTTCACACAAGGGTCGCATGACATTCACATGCCATTTGTGTGCGCTTCACATAAGAATCGTTCACGGTTCACTTTGGAACCATTTACGATTTACGCTGGGGTTGTATGAGGTTCACACAAGAATCATATTACACGTAAGACTTGTTATTGGCTCACACGGACTTCTATACGACTCACATTGGAAGCGTATACGATTCCCTTGGGAATGCCTGCGATCCACATTATCATCGTACGCGCTTCACATAACACGCGTGCAAGTTTCACATCGGATAACCGCTTACGATTCACGCGTTTCGCATACGATTCACAGTGGACCTCGTACACGATCTACATTGGAATTGTAATATATATATATATATATTATCATAGAAATCGTACTCGCATCAGAAGCGCATGCGGTTCACATGGTATACGCAGCCGATGCGCATACGATTTTGTCCACGGTGCACGTGGGAATCGCACACGGTCCACACGGGGAGCGTCCACGATTCAGATGAGCAGCGCGTTCGATGCACACGAGAATCGTATACAGTCGGGGCGTTGACCTAAGGAACCCTAAATAAGGAACGAGGCCCCTTTTTCCCATAAGTTAAACTTCGATTTCCTATCGCAAACATAACGAAAGCCTGAGGCAAGCTGCGAAACACTTAAGGAACGCGGAGCCCCTTCCCAACGAAAAGGGTTCCTTCTTCAGGGCCCCGACTGTACGACCCATCGAAACCGCACGCGAACACGACCCACATAGGGATCGCATAAGCTGCGCGCCAGATGCGTCTATTGTTCACACAAGAAGCGTATGCGATTTACAAAGGCCGTGAACGATACACGTAATATCTATATACGATGCACATTAATATGTATGCGATTCACACTGGAACCGCATACAAAACACATCGCAATCGCATGACATACGCAAACCTTTCCTGTACGATTCGCATACGGGCCGCATCGCATGTGATTCAAACAAGATTCGTATACGATCCACACAGAAATCGTATACGATTATACGATACACAGAGGATTGCGCACGATCCACATGGACATATGTACGTTTACCATAGCAAGCGTCTACGATTCACATGGGAAGCGCGTGCGCTTCACATTATACTCGTATACGATTCACATAACATGCGCGTGCGTTTCACGCTGGAGGATCGCTCACGATTCACACTGCAAGGGTATGCAACTCACACAGGATTCGTATACGATCCACATAGGAACCTTTCATGGAATTAACATGGGAATCGTACAGTATTCTGATGGAAACCGTACGCTGGTCTCATAAGAAACGCATGCGATTCACATAGCCGTCGCAGCCGAGCGGATAAGAGTGAGGCGGCGGGCGAGGGCGACCCGGGCGTCGAGCCGGCGGACCTCGTGGCCCTCACGAATGCAAAAGAACCCTGGAACGAATGCAAAAAAAGCCCGCCGCAAGCGCCGAAAATTTTGGGTGGGTCGCGGGGTGGGTCGCGGGTGGAGCGGGGTGGGTCGCGGGTGGGTCTCGGGGTGGGTCGCCGGTGGGTCGCGGGTGGGTCGCCGACGCAAAAGAAACCCGCCGCAGGCGCCGACGTTTTGGCTTATTCTATGAACGTAGTTTGGGTCGCGGGTGGGTCGCGGGCTCTCCACCTCCACTCCACCTGGAAGGAATTTAAAAACAGCCCGCCGCAGGCGCCGAAAATTTGGATTTGTACACTGAACGCGGTTCGGGTCGCGGGTGGGTCGCAAGTTCTCAACCTGGAACGTCCTGGAACGAATGCAAAAGAAACCCGCCGCAAGCGCCGAAAATTTTGGGTGGGTCGCGGGGTGGGTCGCGGGTAGGTCGCGGGTGGGTCGCGGTGGGTCGCGGGTGGGTCGCGGGGTGGGTCGCGGGTGGGTCGCGGGTGGGTCGCCGGTGGGTCGCTGGTGCGTCGCCGGGGGGTCTCGGGGTGGGTCGCGGGCGGGTCGCGGGGTGGGTCGCGGGGTGGGTCGCGGGTGGGTCGCGGGTGGGTCGCGGGTTGGGTCGCGGGTGGGTCGCGGGGTGCTTCGCGGGTGGGTCGCGGGTGGGTCGCGGGGTGGGTCGCGGGTGGGTCGCGGGGCGGGTCGCGGGTGGGACGACGATCATAACAAATAACAAACAACAAACAACAACAGCAACACCAACACCAACAACAACAACAACAACAAGAAACAACCGCGCGTGAGTGCCCCATGGTCCCGGACCTCGTTCCCGGTTTTCTTCACTGAGGTGGAACCGCGCGTCTGTGCCCCATTGGCCGGTTCGGACCCCCCCCTCCCCCAGGCAACCAGCAACCAGCAAGCAGCAACCTGGGGTTCCGTTCCCTGCTCCGCTGGCGAATTTGCTCGCTTTAGGGTATGGACTCATCCTCCATGCCATTTTGCCGTGTCTGCACCAGCGAAGTTCCGGAATCTACGGGGTCCTATCGGATCCTTAGGGGTGGATCCGACTCTAATAGAATCCTATTACTGGTGGATCCAGCTCTACTACAATCTTATTAGTGGTGGGTCCACCTCTACTACAATCCTATTAGTGGTGGACCCACCTCTAGTACAATCCTATAGTGGTGGATCCACCTCTACTACAATCCCTTTAGTGGTGGATCCACCTCTACTGCAACCCCTTTAGTGGTGGATCTACCTCTACTACAATCCTATTAGTGGTGGATCTACCTCTGCTACAATCCTATTAGTGGTGGGTCCACCTCTACTAAAATCCTAGTTGTGGTGGGTCCACCTCCACTACGAACCTACTAGTGGTGGATCCAGCTCTGATGGAATCCTATTAGTGGTGGATCC